ACTCGAGGGCCGGGATCCGAGAGGAGGAAGCCGTGGGACAGGGGCGTCCGCGGCGGCAGGGGGGGGGGCCGGGCCCATCCCCCGGGCCGGAGCACACCCGGATTCCATTTGGCCCCCCCCCCCACGGGCCGGGAAGCTGTTCTCAGGCTGCCTGGGCACAGGGCAGGACCCGGGCGTCTGGACACAAAGAGGCCCGCTGTTCTGCAGGGTTGGCACTGCTCTCTGAGTCTTTTGCAGCACAGGCGTGTGTGTGTGTGTGTGTGTGAGAGAGAGAGAGAGAGGGCGTTTTTCAAGAGCAGGCAGCCTCTCCCCCCACCCCTTTTCTTCTTTCCCCTCCTCTTCCCCGCCAGAGAGCTGGCTCTCTCTTTTTTGCAAGGCACTCGAGGGCCGGGATCCGAGAGGAGGAAGCCGTGGGACAGGGGCGTCCGTGGCGGCAGGGGAGGAGGCCGGGCCCATCGCCCGCGCCGAAGCACACCTGGATTCCATTTGGTGCCCCCCCCACCGGGAAAAGCCTCCTGTCCAGAATGGCTGGGAAGGAGCGTGATGGGAGAGCCAGAAGCAGGCAGAGGAAGACTGCCACCAAGTGATCCCCGGGGAAGGAAGAGAGTTGGGGTTGGGGGGTGCCCACCCCGGCCTCTCTGCCCCTCCAGCGTCACTTCCGAAGGAGCCATGGTAATGAGAACGCCTTTGTTCCTCTTTTGTACCTCTGGCCGCAGCTGGCGCCCCTCTCTCTGAGCTCAGAGGATCAGCGAACGGCGCTTTCTCTCCTGCTGGAGCAGCCCCCCCGACGAGGCCTCGGGGGCCGAGGGAGACCTGGCCCCCCAGCTCCCGCTCTCGGCTTTGCACAACCACCCCACACAACGGGGCCACCCAGCGACACTCTAGGGCAGCCCGCGCTCTTGTGTGTGACAGGACAAGGACAAGTTTGCAGCAAAGTTTGCCCTAGTCCAGCCACCCTCCTGCTTTCTTCTCTGGAGGGCCAGTCCCACAAGGTGGTGAGAATCCTCTTTAAGAAAAAGAAAGTCAGTGTTTCCCCGAGGCTGGTGCCCTCCTCCGGGGGCAGGGAGAGCCAGTGGGGTGGGAAGTCACCAGGTGGGTGATTATCGCGGGCGGAGGAGTTGCATGATTCCCCTGCAGCCATTAAGAGCAGGAGCGAGCAAAGGCCACCGGCTGGCTGGGTGGGAACCTACCAGAGATGCGGAAGAAGCTGGGAAGATTCTGAATCGGAAGGAGTTGCTCTTAGCTAGAACTTGGCAGCAGGTACGCCCCAATGATTCGGGGAACGCAGAGCTTGGGTCTTCTCAAGGGGAAGGGAGGGAGGCCCCCGGGCCCAGCTTCAAGTCTGTCAGCTCTTGGGCACTGGGCTCTTGGTGTCCAAAAACATCCTGGCCTTGTGGATCAGCTCTGACCTTGCTGTAGCGCGACCCACAAGTGGAATCCTTCCTTGGGAACCAAGTGGGTGCGAGAGAAAGCGTGCCTTTCTAACGGGGATCCTGCACGGCTACTGGTTTTACCCCGGACCAAGACTGGTGCGCCTTCCTTCCTTGGGGTAACTGATGTTGCTCGGGCTTCCCTAGGGAAGAGCCTGGCCCAGCTCAACATCTTGTAGATGGTCGATCGTCTGAGCTGAGTCGTTTTGCTTGGCTGCAGCTTCTCTAGGCGTACCGTACCTATTGCTTTACTCCGGTGGTTTGGCCGAAGGTTGGCAATGCCGGGGCGGGGAGGGTTCTGGGTTGCCCTGCGCCGGGGGAATTGAGGTGTGGGCCCAGCGATGGTGGTGCAAAGTCTCAGCTGCAGCCTGGGAGAGCCCCGACTTCCTCGGCCTCCTCTTCCTCCTCCTCTTGGCTCTGCAGGGAGGGAGAGGACTCCTTCTCACGAAGAAAAGCCCGCCTCGTCTCCAGCAGCAGGAACAAAAGTTTGGCACCGGGCTGTAGAGATTATTAGCAGCTGTTTGGAAAGCCAGCCTGTGGGATTGGAAGCCTCTCCTGGTTAGAGAAGCCGCCGAGGGAGTTTGGCCCCAGGACCAGGAGAAGGAGAGCGCCTTGCTCTCTCGCACGGCCTTCCCCCCTTGGCCTGGGGGGTCCGAGAGGGGCTCGGCTGCAGAGGAGGCTGACCGGAGGCTTGGCTCTTGGGTCAACCCGCACGTCACCCGCTCTGAATGAAGCCCCAGGGAGAGAGATGGGGGGGGAAGGCTCGGCATCTGCCTGGAGGGGGGTGACGTGGGATGCAGGTTTAGGAGCTGGGGGCCAGCAGGCGATGGCAAGCTGTGGCCCCAGAAGGCAGGCAACTCCCTAACAAAGCAAAGCCCGAAGCGTCTGACCTTTCCCCCGCGGGGCGTTCAGATTCTTATTCTGCTCTAAATGGGGAGCAATTCAGAACTATTTGCAGCCGTGAGACGGGAGTTCCAGGGCATTCAGCCAAGGGGATCATTCGTGCTTGAGTTTCCACTGCAGTTTCAAACGGGCAAAATCACCAGGCTGGGCCAAGTGGGCCCTTTCCTTGGAGGGAGAAGTAGGAAGAATCAACCCCAGATCGGCGCTCGGACGTTCCCCAGCCAGGAAGACTCAGGGGCCGAAGTCCCAGTGGGCCCTTCCCCTGGGCCCAGGTCTTTGACGCAGCCCCGGGATCCTCCCAGGGCTGGGGGGACTCGATTTCCAAGGCTGGAGAATTGCTTTGGCTTCGTGAGGCGTCGCCAGCATCAGGGAAGAATTCCTGTCCTGCCGAGGACCCGGGGGTGGTCCCCGCCGAGCGAGCGAGCGAGCGCGGGCTGGAGGGCGGTTGTTCGGCAAACATCGTTCATGTCAGCAAAGGGGAGGGCAGGGGGCAGGCGGGGAGGGGGCAGGAAAGAGAAGGGCTACGCTTTCCGGGGTGGGGGCCCTCGGTCGCCCGGGGAGGGACCTGGGCGGGGGTGCTGCTGGGCTCGCTTACGCGGTTGGAGGTGACCAGCACGGCGGCTTTTCGTTCCAAAAGAAGAGTCCGGGGGGAAGGAGGGGAAATTAAGAGACTCAGCAATTTCCATCTTAACCCTAGAGCAGTGTTTCTCAACCTCAGGAACATTAAGATGGGTGGACTTCAACTCCCAGAATTCCCCAGCCAGTTTGGCTAGCTGGGGAATTCTGGGAGTTGAAATCTACCCACCTTAATGTTCCTGAGATTGAGAAACACTGCCCTAGAGGGTTGGCGGAGAGGCTGTTTTGGTTTCAGAAGTTCTTGGAAGGGGAGGCCGATGCCAATTTTGCACAGCCCTGATGGGTTAAATGGTCGCTTGCTTTTGCTCCGTCTGCTCCTTGGGGGTTGGGGGGTTGGAAAAGCAGTACCAGCGATGTAAGGGGGGCTTTCCCATAATGCCCCTCCTGCCTGTTTACAACCTTGCTCTCCAGCCTCCAAGAAACAAGCCATGGAAGAAAATAGAGATTTCCCCAACCCAGTGCCTTTGGGGGGGCTTAGACGTCCCTTTCCACGATTCCAGCCAGTCTGGCCCCCCGGATTCTTGGACCAAAAGATGGGCTCTTCTGCGTTCACAAAACAGGCTGAACAAGGTCAGGTTCAAGCCCGTGGGCAGCCCGCCAGGTTAAGTGTGTTGCACAGACCCAGCCTCTCATTGGGTCTTTTAACCAAGTTTCTCATTGCCATTCCCCATCTTCCCATCTTCTCCTCGCCGGCCCTCCATAATCAGCTGGTGGAAAAGCTTGGGATTTTCCTCCTCCCTTGGCTGATTATTTTAATTTTGTGTATGTATAAACAGCTCCTGCAAAGCTCTGTGCCTTTACAAAAGATTTTAAAAATAGCCTCAAATGTTGTCCTGGGAATATCTGGCCCAAGGATTAGACGTCCCAAGGTTGGAATATTTCACAGTCTCCAGTTTGTTAAGCACAGGGGTGGCCTCGGCATCAGCACCTGGCACCAGGCTGGCACCTGCTGGTTGGTGGGAGTCTGTCCCCCCCCCGCCTCATTCTCAGCCCTCCTGGCCCAGGGGAGCTAAATGCAGACCGTGACCTTCTGCTACAGGAGTAGTGTCTGCTGCAGGTCAAGGCTGACACCAGCAGAGATAAAACTCGCGGGTTTCTTGGACCCGCCAGACTAAAAGCAGCCAAAACCCGCTGCCATCCAAGGAGACAAGGTGCTTTTTCACACGAGCAGGAGGTCGTTCAGCTCTGCAGAAAGACAGCGGAGCCTGTTTCGCACGTTGGCGCTTAAGAGGTCCTTGCAGGGAGATGCCAGCTGCATTTTGGGACGTCGATGTACCCGAGGAAAGAGTGGGGTTCTCTCAGTTTCCTAGTGTACCCCTAAAGCCTTTGCAGAATATTGTCTTTCCATTCTAGATCTGCAGCAAGGGGGTCCACGGAGGGAGGTAAAAAAACATGGCAGCCACGACTGCACGATTGAAGCCCTCTCCGTTTTTACGTGCATTTTATGCGCAGTGCATATCTGATGGTTAGGCCTTAGCTGGATCGGTGTGCTGTGTGAACGCAGGCAAAGATGAAAGAGCATAGGGGAAGCTGCAGAGTGCAAAACCCTTCCTCTGTGTGGCTGCCACGGGCATATTAGATCCATGCCCAAAGTAGCAAGTATCCTGGGTCCAAAATGGCTGTCAGCCAGCCTCTCTGCTTCTTTTTCACACCGGGCAGAAGGCTCGTGCTCACGTTCTCCGCTCTGGGATGCAAATGTGCCCCGGGAACTTGTTCTGGTGCGCCGTGTCCTCAGGATGTTGCCTCCCACTCATCGCGAGTCTGAAGCAGAGGCAGCTGACAGTCCTCTTCGGCTCTTCCAGTTTAAAGCTGGGTTTCCCCTCTTCTGCCATGCAAATTTGGCCAAGGACATGATCGAGCACCCTTCCGTGGCTGGGGGGCCGCTGATGTGGTCAGGCGTCTGGGATCTGCCCAGCCGCTTCGGGCTGCTGTGGTCACCCCCTGCCCCGCTCCTCTCTGGTCATTCAGTGGCCACCTTGAAGAGAGACCGGGCACTGTGGCTCCCACCCGGCATCTGCCCACTGCATTTTCCTAAACGCTTGCCAGGTGCGATGAGGACCCCTTTTATCTGTGTTTGGGTTTACTGTGTTTTGAAAAAGGACCAAGCTTAGGTTTAAAAAACACTGCTGGGTTGTGCAAGTCCTGTGTTGCTGGCTCTGTTGGGCTCTTAGCCTCTGCCTGAAACGGAAAGTGATTCTTTTTCTAAACACAATTCTCACACACTCCTTAGCAAGAGTTGTTCAGGAGAAAGGGGTGGGTGACATGAATTCCAGCCACCGAACCTCTTCCCCTCTGCAACCCATGAACCCCAGAGTCCACTAAGGCCGCTGTAATGTCTTCCCCGGCTTCTTCTTCACTGCTTTTCTCTGAGTCAGCGAACCGGTGGGTCTCCTCGCTAACAGCCAGGGAGCTTGCAGGCCGTTGTTTAGCTAACGATCTCCGGAACACTTATCAGCCTGGAACCAGCCCTCACAGGTCTGTCGGTCATCGAGGATTAGAGCGCAGGCTTCTGAGTGCTTCTGCAAATAAGGGGTGTGGCGTAGCCAAGCCTTTCCCTGTTTTATTCCTTGGGGAGAGCGTCTTGCCTGCTCTGATGCCATTTCCCTCCTGCGTAGGCTACTTCCCGGTGACGCCACCCACAGCTACCCGCTGCCAGCGTGCCCGTTCTCTTACACCGCTAGCTGAGGGCGAAGCCAGGCTGTTTCTTCGCGTGGTTTTAGTGGTCTTTCAAAAGAGCTCTAGACCCACGTTCAGAAATAGCCCAGCCCAGCTAAGGGATCTCCTCTGCGTTGGGCAATGTCTTGACGAGCAGCTAAACCCATCATCCAAAGCACCCCCTCTACTTGCACAGCTGCCCCACCACGCCTCCAGGAGAGTGGACGGTGGTTGTTTCCCACTGGAAGATGATGCGCAAGGGGAGGGGAAATAAACCAAGATCGACCAGTCGCTCTCCTTAACTTGTCCCACACGAAGACAGGCAGGACAGCACCACGGGAGGCAGAGCAGAGTTTGGGGGCTCGGGCAGCGTGAATGAAGACGGGATCATTTTCTGCTGGAGGGTAGCATGAACGCGCAGCTCTGGCTATGCTCAGAGCCTGCCTTTACCGTGCGTACCATCCTAATGGCTACAGCTGCAAAGCCGTCGCGCTCCGAGGGCCTCTGGGTCAGCCCCCAGCCACTGCGGGTTGCGAGTCTCAGCCGTTCTTTTAATCCTGCCTTTTCTTCAAAGAATGCTCAAAGTGGCGGACCAAACAAGTCACGAGTTAGCTGCTGATCCGCCGGGCTCAGCATAGGGTGGCTTTCCAAGTTCACGCAGGGATGTGGGCAAAGACAGAGGCTCTGCTGCTCCAGGCCTGCACCAGGCACACTTTGGGGTCAGCTCGGATTCAGAAAAGAGTCCAATCTGGAGTGATCTGGAGTCAGGATGCCAACGCTTTTGCTTCTGGAACATCCATGCATGGGCGGGGTGGGGGAAACAAAAGCTGAGATGGAAACACAACCACGTAACTGAAGGCTCTTTCCACATGGGCCACGCTTGCAATGCCCATAAAAGCAGGCTGGGGCTTCGATTACACGATCCAGCTGCCCTCTTGACTCGTCTGACCCCACCGCAGCTGCCCCTATTTGCTTTTCATTGAGGAAACATGCAGAACGGGAAGCCATGCCAAGGCTCTCACCTCTGGGCAGAGCGAGATGCAATTCGCCGAGGAGTCGCCCCATTTGTGGTGGCAGAAACTGCCTATTGTCTTCTGGTTTGCTCTGCGGCAGCAGCATGTTCAATTCCAGGTTTTCAAAAGGGACTCAGGTATTCCCACCCGTCTGCCAGCTTACCTTGAGTGGGAGCAATTGAGATGAAAACAAGGCACAACGCAGAAAGGAACCAGAAAAATAATACGCTAGACCAGTGCTTCTCAACCTTGGCAACTTGAAGATGGGTGGACTCATGCTGGCTGGGGAATTCTGGGAGTTGAAGTCCACCCATCTTCAAGTTGCCAAGGTTGAGAAACACTGCACTAGGCATCACTTTATGTTGTAAATTATAAGAATGGTCTTCGCACCCTTGAGGAATAGAGCAGTGGTATTTTGTCCACCAGGTTCAAGGTCCAGCCTGTGGTGTGAACCAGCCCCCCATTCTAGGGCTTGATCCTTCTCAAATGTGCAGAGCCCCCGCTCGAGAGCTGCCACATCTGGGTTGCAAACCATTGGGTGAGCCGAGGTTAGACTGTTGCAACTCTTTACAGACACCAACTGGCTGTCTGGATGTTGGTAGACAGATCTGGTCGCTCTTGGCCTCCTCACCCGATTCCAGGGGGGCTGGGAGACCCCCTCTTCCCTTTCTGTCCAAGGCAGAGGTGGACTTCGATGGGAAGGAGTTGCCAGACCAGTTTTTCCGTCCACCCCCCTCCTCGTCCACACGGCTGGAGCTGAATCCCCCTCCCACTTGCTGGCCTGCGGGCAACACCTTTCTAGCAGGAAGGAGCCTTCTGCCAGAAGAAAAGTCAGGGAGGACCTGACTCGGGGTGGGCACGTCTCACCTCCAAGCAGTGCTTGGTGGGCTTCCACCCTCCTGGGCCTCTGCAGCCTGTCAGTCCCACCAAGTCTTGCAAAAGCTGGAGCAACCCGGGTCAGTTCCGGCTGCAGCCCCCACCCTGGAAAAGCGCAAGTGAAACCCTGCCAAACCTGGTTGGAAACCAAAACCGGCAGTCCCATAATTGTGCCCAGCCCTCCCTCCCCCTCTCTTTGCTGTACTACCCCTAAATGGAGAATTTGGGGATGGAAAGGGGTCTCTTCTGTGACAATTCAAAGCACTGGACTGACCGGCCCAGGAGGCCATCCTGTGGAAAAAGGCAGGGAGAACTGGGGTGGGGGCTGGAGATGGAGTTTCTCTGGGGTGCCCCCCGGGTAAGCCCCCTCTTCCTGGAGGCCCCTTCGGCCCCACCCCTGAGGACATTTCTCAAGGCTGCTCAGGTGGAGCTCTTAATGTTGGGCGTTAGGCAGTCTGGACGGATGTAATCAGTGCCTGCAGCTGTTACTCACTGATGTTATAGTTTAGGTTGTTCCTGATGGGCACCTTTAATTATATTTGTTTAGGTTGTAAGACAGGATGGTATACAAGAGAAAACTTTGTCTGGCACGCACACACAGTGGTTGGGTTGATACCACACCGAGTCAGGAACAGATGCGGCAGAATGCACAGGCGACGGACGTTTCAGTGATTCATTGTTTGACTAACCGATGCTTCGCTTTACGGTGCCAACCCAGGGAAAGGATTATTCAGTAGCCAGGGTGCAAGAGCAGCCTGGGCCTGGCCAAACCCGGGTCGCAGCGGATTCAGGTTCGCTCCGTTACGGGCGTTTCTTTCGGCCTCCCCGATGCTGGCCGGTCATCGGCGTCGGCTGCGCAGTTGTAACGCGTGTTGCTCTCTGTCTTCCTCCCCACGGCAGGACCCCCAATCCCTTGACGCTGCCGTGCAGAACACCTTGTCGGGGCTCTTCCCGCCCTTCGAGGTGACCGCTCCCACGGTGCTGAGCCAGCTCTTCCGAGTCCTGGAGGCTAAATACCACGGGGATGGCCTCTGCTGCCTGCTGGACTTCCTCATCCCGCTGAAGCGCCTCCTGGAGCACGTCCGGCAAGCGGCCTGCGTAAGTACCGAAGGAAAGATCCCAGCCCCGGGGGGCCGATGGCCAGGCCTGGGACGTTGTGCTTCAGCGCAAGCCACAGCAAAGTCGCACACATCACGACATCATCGTGCAAATGGCGGAACTACATTATTTGTGCAACAAAACCAGAGCACGTGGGACGATTCACCCCCGCCTGCAGTTGCCCATTGCAGACAGAGTCTCATGGCTCCTGCTGACTTCACGGCAGGGCCTTCTGGTCTCTGGGCAATCAGATGAAAGGCCTTGCCCATTTGCCACGAGGTGGGTTGGACTTCCCAGTCGAGCCCACCCGCCTGACATGGGTGGCTCTTCATTCACATAGTAACCATGGACTTTATCAGCTAAAGTTGTTCTCAAAAGGGGGTTGCCAGGACCTCTCTGAGGAAAGACATTGCAGGAGGAAGGCTGCGTTAGTCTACAATAGCCAAAAATCAGGAGCAGCCTGGAAGCCCCTTTTCTGACAAACCGATTTTATTCAAAGGCAGAAGCTTTTGTGAGTTGCAGCTCCCTCCTCAGATGCGTGGAGTGGATAGACCAGGATTTCTCAACCTGAGCAACTTGTAAGATGTGTGGACTTCAACTCCCAGAATTCCCTAGCCAGCCATGGGAATTCTGGGAGTTGAAGTCCACACATGTTAAAGTTGCTGAGTTTGAGAAACCCTGGCTTAGAGATTTTTGGATGGCTACCCGGAGCTAATTTTTCCAAATGAACCCCAATCATCTGGGTGCCAGTATCTTGATTTTTTTCTCATGGAGGCCCATGATGCCCTTCTTCCAATCTTATCTCAGTTCTGCTTGGACTTCAGGACCTGACAATCTTCCCAGATCATCATCAACCAACATATATTTACCGAGAACCCGGGGCCATCGGTTCACCCTTCTGCAGTTCCATAATGCTTCCCTACGATTCCTTAGAACTCAAAGCCTTCTTTAGACACCGTCTATTTAAAATGGAAGGCACATTTCTAATCCTCAAGGTCATAACACTGGGCCTGGAAATGTGCGGGGGATATTCAGAGGCATTTCAGAAGAAAAAAACACAGCAAAACCGAAAGTGAATCTTTCTTGCCTTTGTTCCTACCTGGAATGGATAAATTGCCCCAATTAATCCAAGGAATGAAATTTTCCTGACCATGGAATTTGGCTTTTCTTGCTTCAAAGTTCAATTTGCAGCTTATTTATTTACTTGTCAGCATTAATTCCCAAATATAATTCCACAAAAACAACAGAGAAGCAGAGCCTCTGAATACTTTCCCATTTGTTCTTATACCCCCCTGCTTTTTTTAACGGTGGTTTTGGGCACCATGGAAAACTACATTCCCCAGGATTCCTTGCATCTGGGGCGCTACTGTTGCAGAACGAGAACAAAAAAGAGAGGTGGAGACTCTGCCCCGAGCAGTGGTGTCCAAGGGGGAGGGGGTCAAAAAAGGTCAAGATGGCAGCTGCGATGTCCAAAGCCCGACATCTTTTTTACATGGGTCCGTTGAACTCCTCCATTACGTCCTTCTTTTTGAACAGCATGAAATGCAGATGTTTTCTCATCAGTGGTGGGAGCAGCAAGTTGCAAAGGGGGAGATGCTTTGACCCATCACCTCTGTCTTTCCTCCTCTGCCCCGCAGGCTCCCTATTCCGGCTCTGTGTTCCTGCACGAAGGCTGGCCCTTGTGTCTCCATGAGAAGGTGGCTGTCCACCTCAGCCCTCTGAACCCCCTTCTGCTGCGCCCGGGGGACTTTTACCTCCAAGCTGAGCCTTGCGGGGAGCAGTCGGCCTGCCTCGTGGTGAAGTGTCTCTCCAGAGACCTGACCACTGCAGAGAAGATCCCCATCCCGGACGCCTCCTGCTCTTGGCTCTTCACCGAAGCGTGGCTGGAGGAGATCAACCGGGACCTGGAGCGGCCAACCCTGCACACTTGCCTGGTGGCCACGGGCAACGGAATTGTCCCCGTTCTCTGGAGCAAGATCGCCACCCCAGAGTTCGTCCAGCTCCCCAAAGCAGAACATCCAATGGACAGAGACTCGAACCGCCCCCAGACTTACTGCATGTTGAATTCTCAGCCCCCGAGCAACCCCGTTGCCCGAGAGGGGCACGGTGGGGCAGACCAGGGCTCAAAGCCTCCACAAGGGAAGTATCCTGGACTCATCAAAGTGGAGCAAGGCTCTTGGAAGAAGTCCTCCCTCTTTGTGGTGCCGAGCCTGTGCGACATCATTAGCGAGAACCTGGAAGGCGAATATGTGAACCTGGTGGAATATTCAGAAGAATCCAGAAAGGCCGATGGGTCTTCCCCGGCGGTCGCGCCTCATCAGCTCCAACGAGAAGCCTTCCCCGGGGCCGAAAAGGGGCTCCTCCGGGCAAATGGAGAGGCCGGGGCCGCGGCGGAGGGCTGGAGCTGGGGGGAGGAGCGGGACTTGGAGGAGGGCCCCTGCACGCCCTGCCTGAGAAGGAAACTGAGCCGCGAGCCCAAGGTCCAGGAGCCGAGGTGCCGCTACCGGGACTCCTACATGGCAGCTCTCCAGAATCCTATCAGCTTCAGCTCGGGGCTGATGGCAGCCATACTGGAAGAAATGGACTTTGCCAAACCACCCTCCCCCTCAGAGAGTGCCGACGTCCAGCCGGCCGAAGGGTCGGGCCAGGGGGCCTCCCCGGGCCTCTCTGAACATCCCAGCAAAGACAAGAAAGCTGAGGACATCTCCAGGCAAGGACCCTTGAAACTCCTGAAGTCTCCGGCCGAGGCGCCTGCGGTCAGCAATAAATTCTCCTTCCTGAAAGGCCACCGTCCGTCGGCCTCTTCTGGGGATGGCCCTGTGGGGCCCGAGAAAGCTGGCAAGGGACATGAAGGGCCTCGGAAGAAGTCCTTGATGGTGTCCTCTCCCAAAGCGGCCAGAGCAAGGCCAGCAGCTGTAAAAGGTAACGGGAAGGGAGGAGGCGGGAAAGGCGCCCCGGGCTGCGCAGCCATTTCAAAGGATTCTTCCGGGGGGGGAGGGATCCGGTGCATTGATGTCTCTGGCAGAATGTGCCAGGCCAGTTTGTGCAGCGAGTTGGCGGGATGAAAAATATAAGAGTCGCCCCTCAAAGGATGGGGGGTCCTCAGTGTGATGGAATGGAATTACGAAGGCCAAGCTCAGGGAGATAAACATGATTGATGTCAGGCCTAGCCCAAGGAACTCCAAGAGACAATGCCAATTCAGTCCAGCTAT